TAATCATCATCATCCTCAGCACCACCAGCATCATCATCCGCACCCTCATCAGCATCGTCCTCGTCATCATCCTCGTCCGAACTGTCATTAACACGAGCAACCGCACGATCGTCATCAGGTTCACAGCATCACAATCATCAATCAGAACCATCATCATCCCCACCAACGGCAGCACCATCACCATCACAAACACCATCACCATCAACAACGTAATTCCCATCATCATCATCGTCATCGGCAGCAGCAGCAACCGCAGTCGCATCACCATGATAATGATGCTCATCATTTTCATCAGCATCCGCATCAGCATCATCATAATCACCGCCATCATCATAATCGCCATCATCAGCATCATCAGCGTCATCACCATCACCATCGTCATCATGAGCATCACCATGTCAACATCATCAGCATCATGATCATCATCATCATCAACAATATATCATCCTCATCATCGTCATCAACATCATCCGTATCAGCATCCGCGTCAGGACCCGCATCATCATCATCATCATCATCAGCAGCAGAACCATCATCATGGTCACGATCATCAGCCTCAGACTCATCTCTGTCATACCAGAACGGTCATGGCCGCCAGTATCCGAATCGCCATCGTCATCAACAGCATCGTCATCATCATCCGCAGCAGCATCATGGCCATCAGCATCAGCATCATAATCATCGTCGGCGACGTCGTCTTTGTCGTTGTCGTCGTCGTCACCACCACCACCACCATTATCATAACCATCGTCCCCCGCAAATTATTCCTCTGCCTCGTCCGCCATTTTCTTCCTTCTTGTCCCCGTCCCTCCTCCATATCCTGCTCCTGCGGACGATATATGTTAGATGCACATGTTGAAAAATCATGTTGCACAAGTTCCCAAGGGGGCACAGTGACGGTGAAATTAACCTCCCAAGACCTGCATCCTACGTAATCACCTGGGAGGCACCAGCCCACATCAGCACCAACTCGGGTCTGCAACGGCCCCGTCGCGAAACCCGGCCAGCCGCGTAGCAGCTCTCACATCTGGGCCAGCGGAGGGCGGAAAGGGAGGGATCGGCCCCGCGTGGCTCCCAAACCGTGCTCAGCCAGATGGGGTCGGTCGGCTGACCCCCGTACATATGCTGCGCAACAGGCAGAAGATCGTCGGCAGCCCCACAAGCCGCGGCATCGTTCCCGAAAGCTGTTCGACAACGAACATTTGGCATGGGCGACCACGTAAGCTTGCGACGTGGGAGCGCAAGAAGAGGGAGAAGGGGAGGGGAAGAAGTCGAGGGTTAAAAGGCAGCTACTCACGGACAGCCTGGGAACCCAAGAGAACATTAAATTCCATGAAAAAGGTCAGAGAATTATGAGCTGAGAGATAACGATAATGTCCCCGTTGCACAATCGTGCAAAGACCGCTCGCTGGATCGGCGAAGTGGCACGCGGCGCGCGCGAAACGCAACTGCGCGCGCCCGACCAGGGGCGATCCACCCCGGACAACTCGAACACCTCGCCTGCGAGTCGACAACGCAACCCCGCCGAATCTGCATATATCCGACGCCGCATATGCGACGGCAGCGGCGGCGGCGGCGACGCGGCGGAAGGCGGACGAGGGGGCAGAGGCAGCAGCGCAACCGTTGACAAGAACGACGGCGCCGGGAAAACGACGACGAGGCCGATGAAGCCGCGCGCGAGGAGAAGGAGAGGGGGAAAGGGGTGCAACATCGCCTGGGGAATAGCACTGGAATGAAAGGGGGTGCAGAGGACAGAAAAGGGGGCGACTAGAACTTGAATGGGGGCGGCGGCTGGAACAGCCCCAATGGGGCCGCTGACAACGGGCCTTTGGAACGAGGGGGACAGGGTAATGAGGTGGAGAAAAATCAGTGGAGGCGGGCCCGGGCCGCGCGAAGCTACAGGCCGACTCGCCACTGCAAAGGGCCACGGGCCACCCAACATTTCTGCGATCCAAACTCTGATATGGCTACTGTACCATCATCGCCCAAATGCCGATGGCAGAAACGTCCTGCGTGCCCCCCGCGCACCGATGACGTCAAGAGCACGCCGCCGCGGCCCCCGCGGCTGCCGCCGCTGCAACTTGCGAGGAAGCCAGCAAGAACGCCCCCCAGACTGCCACCGACGACGTGGACCTCCCTTCTCCCCAACCCCCCTCCCTCCCAACCCACCCCTCCCCTCCGATCGCGCCCCCCCCCCTCCCCCTTGCGCGCTCTTCGTCTTGTCCACCGCCCTCTCGAACTAACCCCGTCGTTCCCCCTGGCCGCCTGCGCCGCGACCCCCCGCGGCGACCCCAATCCACGGCGTCGCTCGTATCCAGCCCAGCCCGCGCCGACTGCGCCGGCGCCTCGGGCAGCGAATTCGAGGGGTCCCAAAATTGTTCCTAGATGGCCACCGCGACCCAAGGCGGCGAAGGATATCCCCCAGGCTCCGCGCCAGACGCCAGCACGATCGCCGCGGGGCTTCGATCGGCGCGGCCCCCGCGCGGCCGCGATTTGTTGGAGTGCGTTCGAGGTGCCACGATCGAAACAAAAATACACAAAACAAAAAAAAACATAATGAGCCCCGCATTCGCAATCCACGGGTGAATTTGGCGCGCCCATTTGACTTAAATGAATAGTCAGCGGCCGAACTACGCGAGATACCCACAGACTCCGCGCGCGTAATTGTCGCATATGTTTCGTTGATGGTTCGCATATTTGCGTGCGAACATCAGCAGGACATGTGAGAAGCATACGCGGCTGGGGGGGGCGCCTATTTGTCCAGCGGCAATGCACAAAAAATGCGTGAAAAAAAAAGCCCGCCCCGATCGGTGAAAATGCAAGAACAGTAAACGCGAAATGACTTGTTCCCCGGGGCAGCCGGCGGGGGCGGGGTGAAATGGCGCGACGCCCCCGGGAGGCCCGCGACGGAATGCGGCAGTCTCATGGGGCCTCGCCCTCCCGCTGCCCCGCGCACCCTTGGGATGAGAGCCCAGCCGCCTCCCGGCGCCAAGCGGGCGGGGGGGCGGGCGGGGGCGCAGCGCCAGGCGAGGGGCGCAGCCGCGCGGCTCAGCAGATGACGTCTGCGCCGCGCCACCCCGCGCGGCAACGTACCCAAAAATATTTCGCCGACATGGGGCGGCGCCTCAAGGGCAATGACCCTGCGAGAAAAATGCCGCGGCCCCGATGGGGCTCCAGCCGACGCCCCTGACGGGGGGCGCACCGAAGCCCCCAACGGCGGTGGCCGCGCGCGGTGCTCGCAGGCCACTCAAGCATTTGCCCAACCGGAAGCCGCAGCGGCAGAGGCTGCGCGCCCTACTTGCACACCCCTCGCACGCTTCGCGGCCCCACAGGCGACTCCGTCGAGGCCGCGGCACTTGCGCGCCCCAGGCGCCATCAAAGGCCCCAGCGGCATCAGCCGCGCGCGGCACTTGCGTACCCCTCGCGCGTTCGATGGCCCGAATAAGGATACCCGCCAAGGGTCCCAGCGTCGGCGGCCACCGCTCGCGCGCGTCGCGGCCCCATGGCCTCCGCCAGAGGCCCCAGAGGCGGCGGCCGCGCGCGGCACCTGCAGCACCCTCACGCAGGTCGCGGCTCGACAGGGGACCCCGCCGAAGGCCCTAGCGGCAGCGGCTGGACATGGCATATTTGCGCAGCTGTCACGCGTGTCGTGGCCCCGCAGGAAGCCCCGCTGAAAGCCCCGACCCCGCTGGCACCGTTCGCGCGGCGGCCCTGGTTCATGTCGGCACGCCCCTGTCACGCGCTCCCTGCCCCCCACAAAAATTGTGCCAGAAACTGCGATCAGAACTGCAGATGGGCGGGCCCTTCACCAATCATTTGTTGGACGCGCACGGGCGACGCCAGGCCCCGCGCCGCACCAATTCATGGCGCGCCCCCGCGGCGAGAGACCCCTAAACCGACCCATGGAAGTCGATCCCGCGCGCCGCTGCAGAGCGTATGATCGCCCTGGGCTGTCATGACAATCGTGCTTTAGTTTTACAGGCAAGGCACTCGCTGCGCGCCGCAAACACCACTTGCGCTTGAGCGCTTACACCTTCTGGCTTAAACTCATTAAACTTACATGTGTCGGATATTTGTTGTTGTTCACCGATTTCCGCAACCTATGTTACGGCTACTTTGAAATTATCGTATCTATATATATAGATATATAGATTACTTTCGTTCTAAGTCGAAGGATGGAGGACACCGGGAACAAGGGATCAAGGAGGAAAAGGGAGAAGGAGAGAGAGGGAGAGAACGGGTGAGAAAAGTCAGGTATAGGGGGGGGCACGCACAATTCAAAAGCGTGCTCCGCGTCCTCTGTTCTAGGGCGGAGCGCCTGTGGTCGTGGATCGTGGAAAGCAAGGGGTGAGAAAGGAGGGAGGAGGGACATGGGAGGGTGAGAGACGCCTTCCATCGTCCCTGAGGGACATGAGAAGGTGACGGGGAGGAAACGGACATGGAAATGGAAATGGGGCATAGATGAATATACCTGCCGCAGCGCGACCGAGGCAACTAGAAGCTAGCCACCTTCTTCTGGGGGCCGAAAACACCTCGGCTTCGGCCTCCTCCATAGCCTTCCTTCACTCCCGAGCCCGTTCACCCGCCGAATGTGCCGACACAAAAAAGTGCAGGCGAGCAACCCCCCATACTGGTGGAAGCTGGCGGGCTCTTGGGAAAGGTCGGCCTCGGGACCCGCCCCAGGCTCGCCAGCGGGCCCCAACCCAACCCCAGCCCCACCCACAGCCGAAGAACCAGACATAAAATCCACCAGCCAGCTTCCCGTGCAGGAAGGAGGGAAAGAAGGAAGGAAGGGGGACGAGAGGGAGGGGGGAAATCGGCACGGACTCGACCGCACACCCTGAGAGAGAGAGAGAGAGAAAAGAAAAACAGGCAGACAGACAGACAGACAGGCAGACAGGCGGGCAGGCGGGCAGGCAGGCAGTCAGGCAGGCAGGCAGACAGCAAGGCAGGCAGGCGGGCAGACAAACAGACCAGCAGACAGAGAAGACCAAGGAAGCCTGCTTGACGCCCGGGACCAAGGCCAAGAACGTCGTCACCAGCTCGTGGCAGGCCTCCCCGTGACGGTGTCCCCGGCGGCCGACTCCGATACCCCTCCCTCCTTCGACTCCCCGCCCTCCGCTCAGCCCCTCCCGCTCCGGCTCCCGCTCGATGCAGGGTACCCCTGCTGCCACGCGCACACACACACACACACACACACACGCACGCACGCACGCACGCACGCATGCACGCACACGCACACGCACACGCACACGCACACGCACACGCACACGCACACGCACACGCACACGCACACGCACACGCACACGCACACACACACACACACACACACACACACACACGCGCGCGCGCGCGCGCGCTCGTCCTCGTCCTCGTCCTCGTCGTTGTTCTGCTCCGCCAACTCGTCGTCTTGAGTTCTTTGCCCCCCCGCTCCCCAGCCAGCCCTCATTATTTCCTGCTTCACCCCTCTTCGGGCTTGCTCGTTGGTGGGTGCCGAGGCGGCGCAACGCGAGGACGACGAGGACGAGGATCAGGAGGAGTGGCGGGGGAGGAGGAGGAGGAGGAGGAGGAGGAGGAGGAGGAGGAGGAGGAGGAGGAGGAGGAGGGAAGGGAGGAACGGAGCAGAGGGAAGGAAGGGGAGGAGGGAGGGAGGGAGGGAGGACAAAGGAAGGACTCGGCCAGGCGAAACTCGGCCAGGCCGAACTCGGCCAGCTGAACTCGACTAGGCTGAACTCGGCCCAGGCCGAATTCGGCTTGGCCGAATTCAGCCTGGCCGAGGTCAGCCGGCTGGATCCGAGCTGGCCGAGCTCAGCTGGCCGAGCTCAGCCTGGCCGAGTGCTTCCTGGCCGAGTTCAGCTGTTGCTCGAGGGGGGAGTGGCGAGGGCCCGCCGAGGCCGAACTTGGCCAAAAACCTTCCGCCCTGATCTGTCACGACGTGATCCAAGACGGCCCACGCTGTCCCCAAAAACGGCTCCAGCGGGCGCCCGAGACGGACCCTGGAGGCCCCCCAGGGCAGCTCCCAGAGGGGCCCCGACGGTGGACCCGAAGGAACAGTTCGAGCTCTTGGCCCGGGGAGGCCCCCGGGAGGCCCCAAGAGGCCCCCGAGAGGCAGCCGAGGGCACCCGTGAGGCCCCCCAAGAGGCTCGCGGGAAGCAGCCCGTCGCTGCCAGCCGGCTCGCCCTCGCACTCCTGCCGCGCGGCTGCACCTCGACGAAAACCGGCTCCAAAAACTGTCGACACGCTCCTGCAACATATTGCCCTTTCGCCCCTTCAGCGTCGCCCCCTATCTGTGTCGAAGCAGATGAAAACGCAATTCCGCGCAGCGACCCCTCGACAACATCGACCTTACAACAATGATTCACTGCGTGGAGCTCCCCATATGTGCATCTGTTCGCATGGACCTGTCCGCCGTGAATGTCTAGGTGCAAGAGCTTTCGAATATCAACGGGCTTCAGTTGTGACGGTCTGGTCATGAATCTAACTGCGAACGAATTGGAGTGTGAATGAGCCTCAGTAGTACGAGCGCCTCTGCGCATGAGCCTGGGGCCTCCTGGGGCCTCCTGAAACCTACTGGGGCTTCCAGGGGCCTCCAGGAGCCTCTTGGGGCCTCCTGGGGCCTCCTGGGACCTCCTAGGGAGGATTCGTGCCCCAGGAGAGGCCCAATCTATAGCAACAGACGTACATAAAACATTGCGGATTGGAGCCACAGGAGAAGGGCAATCTATAACAAACACACGTAAAACACAAAGGATTCGTGCCCCTGGAGAGGTCCTATAGGAACAGAAGTACACAGGAGAAGGACAATATATAGAAACATACGTGTAACATCAAGGATTCGTGATCCAGGTGAGGCCCAATCTATAGGAGCATACGTCAAACACATGGGATTGGAGCCACTCCTGTTGCCTTCTGAGGCCTCCTGCTCCTGGGGCCTCTCGGGGCCTCCTGTTGCCTTCCGATGCCTCCTGGCGCTTCCTCTGGCCTCCTGGGGCCTCCTGTGGCTTCCTGAGGCCTCCCGGAGCTTCCTGGGGCCTCCTAGAGCCTCTGGGGACATCCTGCGGCCTCTTGAGTCTTTCTGTGGCCTCCTGATGCCTCCTGGGACCTCATGTGGTCTCCTGGGCCCTCCTGGAGCCTGTTGGAGCCTCCCGTGGCATCCTGAGGAGAATCTGTGCACACGAGTCTGGCCACCGATCGAGACATCCTCAAAATCTGGCCCACCTGGGGTGTGAAAATGAGCGCCTCGCTCGAGACATCCTCCAAATCTGCTCCGAAAGCGAAGGATGTTGGGACAGAAAACAAGCAAACCGCTTAAGACGTCCCCACAAAACGGCCGCGCACGGGACCATGCAAAACCTCTCGGCGGCTCCCCTTAGGGACGTGAAAATGAGCGCCTCGCTCGAGACATCCTCCAAATCTGCTCCAAAAGCGAAGGATGCTGGGACAGAAAACAGGCAAACCGCTTGAGACGTCCCCACAGAACGGCCGCGAACGGGACAGTGCAATTCCCCTCGGCGGCTCCCCTTAGGAACATGAAAATGAGCGCCTCGCTCGAGACATCCTCCAAATCTGCTGCGCAAGCGAAGGACGTTGGGACAGAAAACAGGCAAACCGCTTGAGACGTCCCAACAAAACGGCCGCGAACAGGACCGTGCAATACCCCTCGGCGGCTCCCCTTAGGGACATGAAAATGAGCGCCTCGCTCGAGACATCCTCCAAATCTGCTCCGAAAGCGAAGGATGATGGGACAGAAGACAAGCAAACCGCTTGAGACGTCCCCACATAACGGCCGCGAACGGGACAGTGCAATACCCCTCGGCGGCTCCCCTTAGGGACGTGAAAATGGAGCCTCGCTCGAGACATCCTCCAAATCTGCCCCGAAAGCGAAGGATGCTGGGACAGAAAACAGGCAAACCGCTTGAGACACTCCCCCCCAAAACGGCCGCGAACGGGACCATGCAATACCCCTCGGCGGCTCCCCTCAGGGACGTGAAAATGAGCGTCTCGCTCGAGACATCCTCCAAATCTGCTCCGAATGCGAAGATGTTGGGACAGAAAACAAGCAAACCGCTTGAGACGTCCCCACAGAACGGCCGCGAACAGGACCGTGCAATACCCCTCGGCGGCTCCCCTTAGGAACATGAAAATGAGCGCCTCGCTCGAGACATCCTCCAAATCTGCTCCGATAGCGAAGGATGTTGGGACAGAAGACCAGCAAACCGCTTGAGACGTCCCCACAAAACGGCCGCGAACGGGACCGTGCAATACCCCTCGGCGGCTCCCCTGAGGGACGTGAAAATGAGCACCTTGCTCGAGACATCCTCCAAATCTGCTCCGAAAGCGAAGGATGTTGGGACAAGAAAACATGCAAACCGCTTGAGACGTCCCCACAAAACGGCCGCGAACGGGACCGTGCAATACCCCTCGGCGGTTCCCATTGGGGACGTGAAAATGAGCGCCTCGCTCGAGACATTCTCCAAATCTGCTCCGAAAGCGAAGGATGTTGGGACAGAAAACAGCCACAAAACGGCCGCGAACGGGACCGTGCAATACCCCTCGGCGGCTCCCCTGAGGGACGTGAAAATGAGCGCCTTGCTCGAGACATCCTCCAAATCTGCTCCGAAAGCGAAGGATGTTGGGACAGAAAACAGGCAAACCGTTTGAGACGTCCCCACAAAACGGCCGCGAACGGGGCGTGCGTGAGTCTCAGCATGAGTAAGTCTGAATAGGAGTAGGTCTGAGTATGAGTAGGTCTGAGTATGAGTAATGTTGTGTCTGAGTAAGTCTGGGTATGAGTAAATCTGAGTGTGAGTAAGTCTGTGTATGAGTAAGTCTGGGTATGAGGAGGAGAGGAAGGAGGAGAAGGAGAAAGAGGAGAAGTAGGAGGCGTCCAAGTAATAACAAGAACCCCTGCAATGTCACCCTCTTTCGGTCCTGCAATGTCACCCTCTTTCGGTCCTTCCACGTCGCCCCCGTCCGTGTCGAAGCAGAGCGAAACGCCGTCCACCAGGGCGGGCGCGACTGGAGGTCCCACGATGACCGACATTGGGAAGAGGGCGCCGAGAAGCGGTTCGCATGCAGTGCCATCCGTGCCGTGCCCAGAACATCAAACATACGAGTACGTTGACCAAAGAACAACACGCGCCCAAACCTACAGGGAGGAGGAGTGGGGAAGGGCACGGCGATGAACGCGCTGTAGGGATGGGTGCGAGATGTCGGGCCACGAGGGGGGTCCCGCTCGAGCGGGGACCCCATCCGACAACACGCACCAACGGCCACCCCCCAGAAGTCCACCCCAGAAGTAGATCTCGCCCCCCTGGGGGCTGTCAACGGAGCAATTGCCTCCAATCTCGTGAGCCTCTGGGTGGTCCAGCGGAGCGACGTCTCGCGCGGACTTCAACTAGACTTCGCCTCCCATGGGGCTGACAACTGCACTAATGCCGCCACTTTCGTGAGCTCCTCGGAGGTCCAGCGGAGCGATGCCCGAAAACCGCCCAAACGTTAGACGTCGCCTTCGCGAGGGCCACTGGCGTGAGAGCTCCCGGGAGGTCCGGCGGAGTGCTCTGCCCAGTGCACGCGTGGGAGGACCAGCGAAGCGTGGCCCTATTGAGACCGAAGCAGGACCTCCCTCCCCGGTTAGTGACGCCTTCTTTCTCGCGGCCATCGTCGTCCTTCCGGCATGTGCCCCTCGCAGTCCCCTCCTCACGCGTTTTCACTCGTTTTCTGACGTTCGCTCCGTAAGGGGTCCAACGCGTAGGCCTCCGATTAACTTTCACAGGAAGATCGCGCTCTTGGTCGTATCATCATCCGCTTGGGATGAGCCCACTGGTCTCGGGATTTGATTCCGATGGGTTGTGTCAGCCAACAAGAAACTCTTGCAGTCGGACCTGGGACAGAAGAACATTCTCCAAGAACATGAGACCCTCCGCCGGCCAAAACACCCCAAGCCTTAAGATCATTCGAGGTTGCCCTCCCCAGGATGCACAAAAACATCCAACAAGCACGAAGAACATCAGGGTACGCTCCCCGAACCAACCTCGACCTATACCTCGGTCCGACCGTATTCGAGGCCCGCGCGGATTTCTTAGATCGGCGATGGACCGCCGTCCCCGGCGCGCCGAGCGCGCTAGAGGCGCCGCCAGGGAAGGCCTGGCGCCGATCTGAGACATCCGCGCAGACCTTCGGAAATTGATTCCCCAAACAGGGCTTGCGCTTAGGGGCTCCTTCTTCTCGCACAAGGAACTTTGGGCGCGAATTAAGGGAGGGCGGCAAAAATAAGGGGGGGGACGGGGGGAGAAAGGTGCCCTTTCTGGGCCCTGAAGGCCCCATTGGGGGCCCCATTGGGGGCCCTCGGCAACCTTCGCTGCCCCACCCCTTTGTCTGGGATGCTCACTCTGAGGACCTTTTCTGGAGGCACTCGCTCCACTCAAGCGTCGAAGCTGCGTCGAACGTCCATCGATTTGAGCCGACCCCACCCAACCCGAAGACCCGAACTTGACCCGAATTTCCGGTTTGGGCGGTGTACGGGTTCCACGTGTTTTTTCAGTGTTCCCCGACCCCCCCCCACTGGAGATGGAGGGCAAACTGAGGCCTTCGGGTTGGGTTGGAGTGGTTTGGTGGTCGGGGATCTTCTGACCCGGGTCAATCCAGACCCGGGTCAGTCAGGCCTTGCAGAATCCTGCAAAGGCCCTGCACCCAAACCCGGGCCCATGCAAAAGATCCTGCAGGACCCTGCAGGACCCTGCACCCAAACCCGGGTCAGTGCGCCCCTGGCCCTGCAGGATCCTGCAAGATCCGGCGCTCTGGCTGACCCCCGTCTGCATTGACCCCCGTCTCAAGGGGGCGCAGGTCGCCAAAGTGCGGGCCGCATCGGGGGCCTGCGCGTCGCTCTCCCCCCCGAGGGAGCGCACGAGGCGGCTCCCGAAGGAGACGAACAATGCGACTCAGGGGCTGCCGAGGTGGGTGGTGAAGAGCTGGGCCGGTGCGACGGTCTTGAACGGGCGAAGAACGGCATAAGATAAACTTGTTCGCCGTCGGGGACACCTGCCCCAGGGCGGCTGGAAAGTTTCTACCCTTACGGTGGCACCGTAGGGGTATAAACTTTCCAGCCGCCCAGGGACAGGCGCCCCCGACAGCGAAAAAGTTTATTTTGAACCGTTCTTCGCCCGTAGAGGTCTGGCCAGCCTGCGGCCGCCGATCGCCGACCGTCGTCGTCGTGCTTTGCACTGATCTGCACTGCTCCGCACTGCCTTGAGCTTGTTTGCATCGTATTGCACAACTTTGCAGTGCTTCGGCTTGCATTGCTTTGCATTGTTTTGCATTGCTTTGTATTGCTGTGCGTTGCTCTTTGCATTGCATCGCATTGCTTTGCATTGCATTGCATTGTACTGCTACACATGGCTGTGCATTGCTTTGCATTGCTTTACGTCTTCTTGCATATGTAGCATTGCATTGTTTCACGCTGCTTTCTATTGTTTTGCATTGCTTTGCATTCGCTGCTTTGCATTGCACTATACTGCATTGCTTTGCCTTGGTTGCCACCGCATGGACTGTACCACATGGATTGTACCACCTAGATTGCACAGCAGATGTTGCGATGAATCAGCGCCAGAGGAATAACCATGGAAGGACTTCAGGGAGAGCGAGCCACTAGCGAACACGAACTTGTCACTTATTTCAGCGTCTTGACTGCAATGTTTCTTGTTCGTTGCCCTGCCAAGCCGTCTCCCCCCTGGGGAGGCAGCGTCAAGCTCAAATCGGCGATACATCGCCGATTGGTTGGCGATGGACCCCCGATGGCAAATCCGCACGGTCCTGGGCGGGGTGGGCTGTCAAGTCCCCATCGGAGATCAGAAGGCGATGTGGGGTTGTGCACCCCCCCTGAGCAGATCCCCCCCCTGACAATGCCCCCGACAGGAGCAAATCCGGGTCACAACTCGGGTCTCCGGCGACCGTTCGGGACAATCTGGGCACCCCCAGAATGCGGGGAAACCAGAAGGTACCCATACCGCTGCTCACTGAACCTCTCCCGGGGTGCTCTCTGACCAGCATTTCGAGGCGAATCCAACGGTGGCGACGAGGGCCGCCCAGGAGGCTCAAAGGGGGAGCACGAGGCGAGGGGTAGCGGTATGGGTACCTGTTCTCCTCTGAGAACGTCCTCGGCGAGGCGCAGCTGCTGGAGAGCATCCCGAGGCTGGAAAACCACCCAGAACACACGAGAACACCCGCTAACCTCGAACCTCGAAGCTGCGTCTCCCCTGAGTCGTTCCCCCCCTACGGTAGGCTCGCGCGGCGTCGGCGCACTCAAAGGTTCTTGACACCGCATCGATCGTTCAACCTTGAATCAATCGCGGCCCCGATTGCTCGAGGTTGAATTCACTCAGGCCCAGTGGCCTTATCGTGTCCATCGGTGCTCATCCGCGTCGCAGAATTCGACCTGAAACGCCTTCGCTGGCGTCGCTGGCGCGCCAGCGCCGCACGAGTCTGCCGTAACGTTATGTCGGGCATGGCCTCCTACAGGCGGATTTGGGGCGAACATCCGAAATTGTCAACCAAATAACACAAAACATAGCCAAAAGTAGTGAACAAATTGTTCCCAGGCTATTTTTTTACTATTTTTGGATATTCCTCCTGGAGATGGACATGCCCGACTTAACCGTGACGCTGCCCCTGAGACTCCCTCCAGGGCACCGAGCGGAACGGGCAGATCACCAGCACGCGGGCCCGCGTGAAGCCCTGCCGCGCGGGGCTCGCGCGGCGCGAGGTCGCGGTGGCGATGGCGCTCGGCGAGCAGGCGGCGGCGGCGGCGCTGGAGTGGGGCAGCCGGGTGGGAGGCTCGAGGCAAAAGTATAAAGGCCTCCTAGATGGGGTCCGAGTAGATTTACGTTGGGCATGCCATCCTACAGGCGGATTTGGGAGAAAAACAAAAATAGTCAAAAAAAAAAAAAAAACAGTCACAACAACAAAAAATCGTCCCCAGGCTATTTGCCAATATGTTTGAACATTCTTCCGGTAGGGAGACACGCCCGACGTATATAAGGATTCTCCCGCTCGCGCGCCAGCGAGCTGTCTCCGAGCGCGGCCGCGGCGTGCGCGCGCGGGGCGGCCCAAAATGGGCAGGCCCGTCCCGCGCGCTCAAGCCGGGGCGCCGCGCGTCAGACGGTGGAGTCCGTCTGGTCGCCGAGGTCGGCGAGGCAGCGCCCGTCAGCCTTAGAGTGGGAGAGGAGGGAGGGGGGCTGAGAAGCTGCGGAGACAGCAGGAGCTTGCTCACAGAGAATAGAAGAAGCATTCTCCCGCTCGCGCGCCAGCGAGCTGTCTCCGAGCGCGGCCGCGGCGTGCGCGCGCGGGGCGGCCCAAAATGGGCAGGCCCGTCCCGCGCGCTCAAGCCGGGGCGCCGCGCGTCAGACGGTGGAGTCCGTCTGGTCGCCGAGGTCGGCGAGGCAGCCATACCCGTGCTCAAGGACCTTGCGAAGTGACAAGGTTTTGGCGGGCGGCCGCAAGCAGGGCAGGCCAAGCGGCGGGGCCGACTTGGAGGAACGAAGCGACGAGGCGGTCGCTGGCGGTGGCGAAGAACAAGATACGAGCCCGCGCGTGCTCGGGGAGCGCAGCAAGAACTGTAGAGGCGGCGGCGGCTTGCAGGTAGCGTTCGGCACTGGAAGCCTGACGCCAGCGCCCTCGCCAGAAGACGCGAGGGACGTCTTCCGTGGCGATATAAAAGTCTGTTGCGCCAGAGCCCCGCAGACAAGCGGGCGTCAGGTTGAGCCCCTGACCTGCTTTGGCAAGGGGGACGCCCAGAGCCAAAAGCAGATGATTCCACCGAGTACGGAAGCCGCTCGCACCGAAGGGGGCGAGAGGATCGGTGGAAGCCAGCCTCCCAAACACAAGATTCAATATCTTCACCGTGCCCCGATCGGAGCAGCGAGCATGTTGCGTCGGGTACGTTCTTCTGGTCTTTGGAACAAGAGTCGAAAGAAAAGCATCTCCTTCGACTTCGAGACGGTCGCACGGAAGCGACAGGTCACAGCGGCGGGACGCCAGCAGTTCGCCAGGCCTGAGGAACATCGTGAAGCCCATGAGCAGCAGTGCCGCCATCACAGGCCAGTCCCAGGCGAGACAGAGCCCGACCATGGCGCGCAGCAGCGCGCGTGGCAAGGGGGGACGGAGCTTTGGCGGCTCTGCAAGCTTCCATTGTTTCGCTACGTCCCAAGCTTCTGTCAGAAAGGCCTTCCAATGCGGATGGGCGCTCTGGATTCCCAAGATGGCGTGGACCAAAATATAATGGGGAAAACCTGCATCATGAAGCCACACGCCGAAGGTCGCTAGGAAACGGGCGAGAAGTATCCCGCTTCGGTAAAGCGTGGCGGGTGGCACGCCAGTGTGTTCTGCTAACCACAGCTCGAAGGCATCAATCGATCTCGAACGACGGTCGAGATACGCGGAGGTGAGGTGAGAATCGCGCACGAAAGGAGTGCGCGGAGGGCGAGCGGGCGCGGGCGGCGCAGCTCCACTAAGCCCTTGGCCGGCGGTCGGCGCCGCGGCTCCCAGAGAGATGCAGAGGCCGCAGACGCACCACAGGATGAGCGCAGGGCGGCCAGGGCTCGGAGAGCTGATGAGTGTGGCGGCCCTCCTGCGCCTGGACGCGTAGAAGGGCGGAACGAGGGCGTCCCGCCCGTCGGTCTCGAACCCCGACGCCTCAGCCAGCATCGCCCGCGCCGAGCTGAAGGACCCGCCCATGTTACGGTAGGCGCGGCGAGCCCCTGCTTCGATCTCGGCTGGCAGAGCGTCCCCTTTCTCGAGGGTCGGCCAGTCAAAAGGCGGGCGCGGCTCGGCACGCGCCGCTGCGGCTGCTTCGGCCAGCTCGGAACGAGCTGCCGAGGACGTGAGGCCCGAATGATGAGGCACGGGCACCACCTCCGCGAAGGCGTCGAGGATCTCGGACGGAGGGGAATGGGATCCCCACAGCGCTGCTGGGATGGCGCCGTGACTGTCCTGCACGTGGTACAGAAAGTCGAAAAGGCAGGCCAGTTTGCCCGCGCGCCGCCGCTGCTCGATCTTTGAGCCGAGCCCGATGCCACGGATGGCGCCCGCTCCCATGGCCTGGAGGTCAGCATGTGCGGGAATAGCCTCGGGCTCGACGACGGCCGCGTAAGGATGCAGCCACGAGGCCTCATCGATCGGCTCGGCGCCGCCCGTCTGAAACAGGCGCTTGTAGGCGTGCAGGGCCCGCAGGAGGCAGTGCAGGTCATCCTTGCCTTCGGGCTCGGCGGCCCCTGCGGGTGCGAAAGTCCTCAGCCACGACGCCGCACTCTGGAAGGCAGCTTGCCAGGCGGGGCCCCACCTCACTACCGTGATCTTCTCGCCGCCGATGTTGAGGCGCCACGCTAGGGCGCTCGCGGCCCCTGGAGGCAGGGGCTGCTCAGCGGCCGCCGAGGCCGTGCGCCGCGCTGCGAAGGCTGCAGCCGCGGCGCTTGCAGCGTCACCGCTGTGAGCGCCGCTGAGGGGCAGCTCGGGTTCAGAAACTCGGCCACGCACGAAGCCGCTCGAAGACCCCCCTTCCTCGGCGGCACGCCCTCCTCCCTGCGGGGCCGCAACAGCATCGCTGGAAGAGCGCATGCATACCGAAGTCGGAGTAGCCTGAGCAGCGGAGTCCGCGCGGGAGCTGGCTGGCCGCTGCGAGGTGGCGGGGCTCGGGCGACGCTTCGGAGCGACTCGAGGAGAGCGCACCGCGCGACGCCCAAGCGGCGCACGTGAGCGCGACGCCGCACGCCCCCTAGAGTGGTGACGGGGTGGCGACGGCGGCGGGGGAACGGGCCGCGGCGGCTCGGGGCCAGCACGCGGGCCGCGGCCCCGAGAGCGGCTGCGAGCCGCAGCGCGAGCGGCGGGCGGAGAGGTCTCCGCGCGGCGCGGGAAGGCCGCCTGCAAGCGGCGGAGGACCTCGGGGTTCAGGCCCGCCACGACGCGCTCGAGGTCCACCGAGGAGTCAGTGAGAGCACTCAAAACGACGTCCTCGAGCTCCGTCGGAGAGTCCTCCTCGCACGCGGGCTCCGCTCTCGAACGGCTGCGGGCGCTCGCTGGAGGGGACCCCTCAGGAGTGTGCGGGCCCTCCGATGCCTCTCCCGCCGGCGGCCCCGACGGCTCCTCAGGCGCGCTCGAGACGTCGATGGGAAGCGAGGAGCCGCCTCCCGAGGGCGAAGTGTGATCAGTCCCGTACGGGTTCGGCGACCGCGTACGGCTGCGGGCAGGGCTGCGGCTCCGCGGTGGAGGGCCCACTCCCGCGGCGGAGCTGGGGCGTGCGGCACCTGCCCAGTGGCGCGCATTAGCTGTGCGACGCGACCTGCGGCCAGGCGTCGTGGCGGCTCCCTCTTCAGGGGCGGGAAGCGCCGCCGTCGAAGCCCGCCGCTGCTTCTTGGCGCGCTTGTTGCGCGCGGCGCCCGTGCGCGAGGCGGAGTGTGGTGCGTGACCACCGCGATTGGGCTGGTCCTCGACAGCCTCCTCCCGCGGGCCCAAACGGGCGCGGACAGCGCGCCCCTCGCGACGGCTGAAGCTGGACGCTGGGTCGTCGGCAGGCCTCGCCAAGGCGCGCGGGTCCACAGCCTCCACATCGGCCAGGGAGCGCCCCGTGGACGACGCGGGGGCGTCCCCAGCACGAGCGGCACGATCCGCATTGGCGAGGCCCGTCGAGACCTCAGCGTTGTGCAGGACGGCGCGCAGAGTTTTGCGCCAATCCCGACCCAGCTGGACGGGAGCCGTACGTGGCAAGCCCGCGGCCTCACGACTGGCGGCCTCGCGCAAGCGGCGGAAGTAGGCGCGGTCGGCCATCCCCTCCGCGAGCTCGGCGCGAGCGACGGCACGCTCGCCTTCGCCGCGTGCTGGAGCCTGCACCGTGCGCCTTGTGGCGTCGGCCCGCGCGGTGCGGAGCGCGTCGAGCTCCACGCGGCCGCGCGACACGGCGGAGGCGAGGATGGCATCGGACTCAGCCGCCCGCGTCGCGAGGGCGGACGAAACCCTGCTCGGGAGAGGCGCACCCGAGGCGGGGAGGGCAGCCCGAGGGGCCAGCTCGGCACTCGCCAGGGCGACCCGCGAAGAGACCGCCTCCTCGAGCGCCTGAAGGGCCATGGCCGACCCAGGAGCCAGCTTGCCCTTGCGGGCGCCCTTCCCTGCCGCGTTCGCCTGGGCGAAGGCGCGAGCGGCAGGACCGTCACCGCCCGTGCTAGGAGCAGCGGGCGGCGCGGCGGCCTGCGAGAGCGCCTGGAGCAGCACTGACTTGGCGTCACAGAGCTGCTTCCACTTGAGCGCGCGGGCTGCACGCTCGCCAGCCCCCAAGTGCGCAGGGGTCCTGTCTGGATGGTAGACTAAGGACTGGCGCCTGAAGGCGGCTTCGATGGTGCTGCGCGAAGCCCCGTCCACGACGCCAAGCAGCTGGCGAGACGCGCTCACCCTGGCCGCTCGCTGGAAGACGCGGGGGGTAGCAGCCGTGGCCCCCTTTGGCGCTTCCTGCGAGCCGACGCGCGACGAGCCCCCCCCGATCGCAGGCGGAGGGGCCGCTGCGGCCTTGGAGCGGAGGGCCAGGGGTGGCGGGCGCTTGGCGGCTGGGGGAGCCGAACCAGCGCTGGCGGCGGCAGGGTCGGGGCCGCGCGCGCCGCCCTCCGAGAATACAGGCGCCTTGGGCGAGGCGTCTGCTGTGGACGTGAAACGCCGGCCGCTGTCAGCGAAGAGCGCGTTGCGAGGCCCGCGAC